TCTAAGTGCGCCAGGATCCGCACTTCTCAGAGAGAGAAATTGGATAAACTCGTTTACCCCAACTGCAATGATTGGACAGCCGGACTTTCACCTTTTCAAATGCAAGGCCATGCATGGTAGAACTAAAAAGAACATGGCTCTTGGACCCCTTATAAATCCCCGATCATGCAAGCCGTGAAAACGAGCCCGGGTGTTGGCAATGCGAACTCCCACATTCTAAATGACGTAACAAGAAGGTACCGTTTTGGCGGGTGTAATGCATGGTTAGATGGAGTTGGATCCTCGAAGTGCGCCCGAATCCAAACTTGTCAGAGATCGAATTCGCAAGAAACAAGTTTTCCTCGACTGCGGTGATTGGACTGTCGGGCTTGAATCATCACAACCGCAAGGCTATGCGTGGCAGAACGAAAAAGACCTATATGGCTCAAGGACCCTTAAGCAACCTCCGTAAACTGCAATTAAGTTAATCCACAAGGCGAACTCTTGTGATGACACTGCCAACTTTTGCAGGCCGAACGACGACAAAGTCAGTGCGGATTTGCAGGCAGACACCACGAATAACCAGAACAGTGTGCGAGCCTCAACGTTCGTCGAGATCCGAACTTGTGAGTGATCAGATGCCCTCAATTACATTTATTGCAATGTTGGAAGGTCATGTAATATGCACGGTAGAACAAAAAAAACATGGCTCCAGGCCCCTACAACAACCCTCATAAAAATCGATTTATTTAATCGACAAGGCGAGCTCATGTGTTGACAATGTCAACTTCTGTCATCCAAACGACAATAAAAACAACGGGGATATGCAGGTGAAACTTCCGCAGAAGCAACGAATGATAAGACAGAGCGCGAATGTCAAAGTGTGCCTGGATCCGAACTTGTTGCTGATTGGAATCCAACTACTGAATTGATGTTTACTGCCAGAAGGCAATGCAATATGCGTGGCAGGACAAAAAAGACCATGGCCCTAGGACCCATCTGCAACCCCTACAAACCCTGATTTGGTTAATCGACATGGCGAGCTCGTGTGATGGCAATGCTAACTTCGTACGTCCGAACGACGACAAAAAACAACGGGGATATGCAGGCGGAAACAATGAATGATAAGACAAAGGGCGAACGTCTAAGTACACGAGATCCAAATTTGTTAGTGATCGGAATCCAACTACTGCATTGATTGCCCTGCCGGAAGGCAGTGCAATGTGCGTGGCAAAAAAAAAAAACCATGGCTCTAGGACCCTTCTGCAACCCCTATAAACCCCGATTTCGTTAATCGACAAGGCGAGCTCGTGTGTTGGCAATGCCAACTTCTGCAGTCCGAAAGACGAACGGGTGTTAATCACGCGGATTTGCAGGCGGATGCCACGAATGACCAGAACATAGCGCAAACCTCAAAGTTTGTCGGGATCCGAACTTGTCAGTGATTGGATTCCTGCGGTTGCATTTATTGTACTGGTGGAAGGTCATCTCATATTTGTAGTAGAATAAAAAAAGAACATGACTCTAGGCCCCTTCAACAACCGTCAGTTTTGTTTTTCCCTCTATCTAGCATTGTCACAAAAACCAGCGCGCAAAGTGCAAGCGCAAACGTGGTTCTAATAGAGAATGACACAAAGTTCGCCGAGGACATATTACGTGAGAGACAGTTTAGCCGCGATTGTAGTGTTTGGACAGTCGGATTTGCACCTTCACTGCACCCCGCACCAACCCCCATTAACCCCTGATAGGGTTTTTACACTAGGCGAGCTCGTTTGTTGGCAATGATAACTTACGTGTGCAAATGCAGGGAGAAGAAGAAGTGGGATTGGAGGCGTGTGCATCGAGTGATTCGACCAACTACGTTAAGCGAAGTGCGTCGGGATCCGAACTTGCCAGAGATAGTATCCACTACACCGAACCGATTCAAAATCTCTTATAATTTGTGTCGAAGGAAATTTCAATGTGTTTTACGCAATCCATAGTGGCGGAGGATGCACTCGCATCAATGATGAAATGAATAGGGGGGTGACGACTGTGACGAGGGGTCCATTACCGAATTGCGTTTTTTTCCTATAAATCGTATATAACAAAACCGACACACCGAAGAACAAAAAGGAAAGCTGCCAAACGTGGTCGACACAAATTTATAGGCGGGAAGTTTTTGCGTGAACTTCACTGGGATCCGAACTTGCCGGAGACGGGTTACCCTGTGCCCATTCAATGGGTAACGGGTTTTGTACAACGTCGTTGTACACGTTGAACACCCTAGGGGTCCCCGTTCAATCCCCCTTGAACGGTAGAACGGGGGCTTCCCGTTGAATTCCGATCAACGCGTCGAGCGCAATGGGGCTCGGACACATGGCCGGAGACGCGTGGAATAAAAAAAAAGTAAAAAAACTACCCTGTGTGTATGTGTGTGTGTGTGTGTG